CTATTCAGTTGAGGACATGGGCTAAATTTGGATTTAAGGGTAAGTTAATAATGTCACCTTTTAAAAGAGAGTTTAACACAAAGTAATTGTGGTCTAAAAATATTATTTTTCTCAAGAGTCATATGAAGATTAGGTTCCTGAAGTCTTCAAAATAGGCAACATTTTCTTATACATATTAATCTATTGACAGTACTGATTTGATTTTGTAATACTGCAATTATTATATAAAATGCAAGCCAATGATTAGGCATCTCTTGGGTATATTCCCAAGAGTAGAATTGCTGGGTCCTGAGAGAGGTTGACTCCCAGTTTCCTGAGAAAACACCACACTGATTTCCACACTGATTTTCACAAGTTTGCATTCTCACCAACAACAGATGAGTGTTCCCCTCACTCCCCATCCTCTTCACCATAGGCTATCATTGGTGTTTTTGATTTTAGCAATTCTGACAGGTGTAAGATGGTATCTGAAAGTAGTTTTGATTTGCATTTCCCTGATCGCTAAGGAGGTTGAGCATGACCTTAAGTGTCTTTTGGCCATTTGAATTTTTCTGTTGAGAATTCTCTGTTCAGTTCAGTGCCACATTTTTTAATTGGGTTAATTAGAGATTTAATGTCTAGATTCTTGAGTTCTTTATACATTCTAGAGCTCAGACCTTTGTTTGATGTGGTGAAGATCTTCTCCCAATCAGTAGGTTGCCTTTTTGTTTTAATGACAGTGTCCTTTGCTTTACAGAAGCTTCTCAGTTTCAGGAGGCCCCATTTATTCATTGTTGCTATTGTCTGAGATGCTGGGGTTCTACATAGGAAGTGGTCTCCTGTGCCTATGTCTTGTAGACTACTTCCCACTTTCTCTTCTATCAGGTTCAGTATGGTCAGATTAATACTGAGGTTTTTAATCCATTTGGATTTGAGTTTTGTGCATGGTGATAGATATGGATGAATTTTCATTTTTCTACAGGTTGACATCCAGTTATGCCAGCACCATTTATTGAAGATGCTTTCTTTCTTCCATTGTATACTGTTAGCTCCTTTGTCGAAAATCAGGTGTGGTGTTCATAGGTTTGTGGATTAATATCTGGGCCTTTGATTCGATTCCATTGGTCAACATCTCTGGTTTTGTGCCAATACAAAACAGTTTTCATTACTGTAGTTCTGTAAGAGTTTGAAGTCAGGGACGTTTATGCCTCCGGAAGTACTTTTATTGTATAGGATTGTTTTGGCTATCCTGGGTTTTTTGTTTGTCCATATAAAGTTGATTATTGTTCTCTCAAGGTCTGTGAAGAATTTTGTTGGGATTTTGATGGGGATTGCATTGAATCTATAGATTGCTTTTGGTAGAACTGTCATTTTAACTATGTTGATCCTCCTAATCCAAGAGCATGGGAGACCCTTCCATTTTCTGGTATCCTCTTCAATTTCTTTCTTCAAAGACTTAAAGTTCTTGTCAAATAGATCTTTCACTTCCTTGATTAGAGTTACCCCAAGATACTTTATGTTATTTGTGGCTATCATGAAAAGTGATGTTTCTCTGATTTCCCTCACTGTTTCTTTTTTCTTTGTGTATAGGAGGGCAACTGATGTTTTGGAGTTGATCTTGTATCCTGCCACATTACTAAAGGTGTTTATCAGCTGTAGGAGTTCTTTGGTAGAGTTTTTAGGGTCGCTTATGTACAGTATCATATTATCTGCAAATAATGAATGTTTTACTTCTTCTTTTCCAATTTGAATCCCCTTGATTTCCTTATGCTGTCTTATTGTTATTGCTAGAACTTCTAGCACTATATTGAAGAGGTATGGAGAGAGTGGACTGCCTCGTCTTATTCTTGATTTTAGTGGGAAGGTTTTGAGTTTCTCTCCATTTAATTTAATGTTAGCTGTCAGCTTGCTGTATATTGCTTTTATTATATTTAGGAATGAACCTTGTATCCCTAATCTCTCCAAGACCTTTATCATAAAGGGGTGTGGAATTTTGTCAAATACTTTTTCAGTACTCAATGAAATGATCATATGGTTTTTTCCCTACAGTTTATTTATTTGATGGATTACATTGATATATTTTCTCATGTTGAACCAGCCCTGCCTCTCCGGGATGAATCCTACTTGATCATAATGTATAATTTTTTGGATGTGTTCTTGGATTCTGTTTACCAGTATTTTATTGAGAATTTTTGCATCGATGTTCATGAGTGAGATTGGTCTGTAATTCTCTTTCTTGGTTAAGTATTTGTGTGGTTTTGGCGTCAGGGTGACCGTAGCTTCATAAAAGGAGTTAGGCAATGACTCTTCTGTTTCTATTTTGTGAAACACATTAAGGAGTATAGATATTAACTCTTCTTGGAAGTTCTGGTAGAATTCTGCATTGAAACCATATGGTCCAGAGATTTTTTTGGTAGGGAGGTTTCTGCTGACAGCTGATAATTCCTCATGATTTACAGGTCTATCATACTACAAAAGCATTTGTTCAACTATGTTCATAGCAGCACTATTTGTAATAGCCAGAACCTGGAAACAACCTCGGTGCCCCTCAATAGAAGAATGGATAAAAAAGAACATAAATGCTTTAGAGTTTTACTCAGCGATAAAAAACAATGACTTCATGAATTTTACATGCAAATGGATGGAAATAGAAAACACTTTACTGAGTGAGATAACTCAGACCCAAAAAGATGAATATGGTTTGGACTCACTCATAAGTGGATTCTAGCCATAAATAAAGGTCATTGAGCCTATAATTTGCGATCCTAGAGAAGCTAAATAAGAAGGTGAACACAATGAAAATCATATAGTTATCCTCCTGGATATTGGAAGTAGACAAGATTGCCAGGCAAAAGTTGGGTGCATGGGGGTGGGGGAGGGGTGGGTATAAGGAGAGATCGAGAGGGAGAAGGGAGAAGGGGAGGATTGGGGAGAGCTTGGGGGAATGGGATGGTTAGAATGGAGGAAGGGTGCATATGGGAGCAGGGAAATATTTATCTTAATTACGGGAGCCATTTTAGGGTTGGCAAGAGAGTTGACTCTAGGGGGGTTCCCAGGTGTCCAAGGAGATGTACCCAGCTTGTTCCTTGGATAGCAAAGGAGAGGGTGCCTGCTCTGGCCTTGTCCCATAGCCACACTGATGACTATCTTGCATATCACCATAGAACCTTCATCTGGCGATGGATGGAGATACAGACCCACATTGGAGCACTGGACTGAGCTCCCAAGGTCCAAATGAGGAGCAGAAGGAGGGAGAACATGAGCAAGGAAGTCAGGACCATGAGAGATGTGTCCACCCACTGAGCTGGTGGAACTGATATAATGGGAGCTCACCAAGGCCAGCTGAACTGAGACTTAAGGAGCATGTGATCAACCGGACTCTCTGAATGTGGCTGTCAATGAGGGCTGACTGAGAAGCCAAGGAAAATGGCACTGGGTTTTGATTCTACTGCATGGACTGACTTTTGTGGGAGCCTGGTTTGTTTGGATGCTCAACTTTATAGACCTGGATGGAGTGGGGAGGACCTTGGACTTCCCATGGGACAGGGAACCCTGACTGCTCTTAGGACTGGAGAGGGAGGGGGATAGGGAGTAGGGGAAGTGAGAGGGAAATGGGAGGTGGGGAGGAGGTGGAAATGTTTCATAAATAAATAAAAAAAAATGCAAGCCAATTTCTACTCATTTCAATGTTTGTTTATTACAGATATTATCATATATAATACTAATTGTTGTGGGATTTCAATTCATCTAGTCAATGGCTTTTGTGGCAGCAAGTTCATGGTCTTGTCTGCCTACATGACATGACACATTATAAGCTGAGGGAAATGGTCTCTTGCTCGCTCACTCTCTTGGGTGGTAAAAGAAAAGTAGGCAGACCCTGGGCAAATGACTGGACGAAGGAAACAGGATCAGCAATGGTATCTAACCAGTTTTGTATCTCTGAGTGCATACCCCTAATTTATACCTAAATTCTTGAGAACCATTAACAGACGCCTGTCGATTCACGCTACAACTAAGATTTTTATTTGTTATATATTTTGATTTTTTAGTGATTTACTTATTGTTATTTTCTGTGCATTTTTGTTTTCCCTGCATGTGTGTCTATGTGAGGGTGTCAGTGTCTCTGGAACTGGAGGTCCAGCTGTCTGCTGTCCTGTAGGTGCTGGGAATTGAACCTGGGTCTACTAGAATAGCTACTGCTCTTAACCACCGAGCCATCTCTCCAATCCTGAACCAAGTCTCATTGTTCTAATATAGTTATACTAATGGAAACTTTCTTCTTTTAATTTTATTACTTTAAAAAGGTACCAATCCAAATTCCTACTTCCTCCTTTCCTCTCCCTCCCTCCCACTCCCCCCACACATGTTTCCCCCAACCCCTCTAATCTTGAGAGAGGGTAAGGCAACCTGCCCTGTGGAAAGTCCATGGCCCTCCCCACTACACCAATGTTGAGAAAGGTATACATCCAAAAAGAATAGAATCCCAAAAAGCCAGTATATGCACTAGAGATAACTCTTAGTGCAATTGTCATTGGCCCCTCAGTCTGCCCAAACTATCAGCCACATTCAATTTAGAATCAACTCATGAAGTTACAAGGGAGAACTGGAGTATTATTAGTTCAGTGGTAGAATGTGTGCCTAGCATGTATGAGGCTTTGGGTTCAATTTCCAGCATGGCAATAAACAACAACAAAGGAGTCACAGAAAGAAATAAACAACAACACAATGGTGTCACCATCATGTTTCAGCTTTCATTACTACATTCTCTTTACTCAGTGGTATCTACAATCCACAGACTTTGTTCACACAGGCTTTATAAAAAAACTTTTTGAAGTGTTTAAAAAGCACTTACTAGATAAATGCTACAGTTACATGAAGGATCATAGGAGCAGAATAGAGAAAAGAAACTCAAATTTGTGTTCACAAAGAGTGACTCATCCCTCACTATGAAGATGCTTCTACTGATTCTACTTTCCACGTAATAGATTAATATTTAAGTGATGATGTTGTCAGATAATTACCTGGGAAACACCCAACTTTTTGCAAGCATCAAGAAAATTTTCTACATTTCTTCGACATTTCGCCATGCTCAGCTTGGGCTATAAAAAAAAAAACGAGAAAGACAAACATTTATAAGTAATTATATGCCAAATAATTTGATACTGAAAATTGTATTGCTTAATTGCACTAGTTAAGAACATATTTTAAACCTTGTGCTCTTCTTGGGAGAAAGTGTAATCTGTTGACACTACTTACCACTGCTGGTGATGGTACATGAATACTAGCTACAGAGCGTGGCCTTATATGATTGGCCAAGTGGCAAAGAACAACCCCATCCATCAGTGCAGCTCCTATGTCATCAGGCAGAATTACTTTTAATCTGGACTCAAGGTTCTATAAAGACATGAGGATAAAGGTTCAGGTCATATCTAAACGTATGGCATACATTCATATTATCAATTATATGATCAAAATTTGAAAGAGCATTAGAAAACAAAATCACTATATGAATTTGTGAAATGAAATCTATTTCTGTAAAGCAGCTGTGCAAGGTCAACATGACTTACATTGCGAAGCTGTCGTATCTGTTCACGCTCTTCCCGTAAATGCTCCATCTTTCTTCTCATTGTAAACCCTGGATCTGCTGCCCCATATTCTTGCCGAGATGCACGACTAAAGGCTGTATAGAAAGAGAAATTCCCTAACTTTTTATAAAAAAAGAACAGACATCCATGAAGAAAGATGCATGATAAAAATAATCAGTAAAGAATTATGGAAGATGTTTTCAATAATGCATTACAAATATTTTAATTACATGTAAATGATCGTTAGTTGCATGGATGAAAAGCAACAGGCAATTCAAGTGCAATGATTTTCAGCACTTACGTATGTTCTTATTTAATTATATATTGTGACAAACTTATGACTCAGGTTAAAAGTGATGATACAACATATGACAGTTTTCTAGCTTTAAAGAAAAAAGGAAATTATTCAGGAAGGTCAAGGTGGTTATTCACTAATAAGACTATAATTCAATACCTTGCCAAGTAAAATGGATCCATTTTCTTTGGGGCATGCCAAATGCAAAAAGATCCCTGTTTTAAACCACAATACAATGGAATGCTATAATTTCAAACATTTGTGTGCTGACAGAGGGCTCATTCTAATAGCAATCACAGCAGGGGAGAAATAAGACAGCAGGATACCTAAGGCAAAAAACTGAGTTTACAGGAGCTTGAAGGTAATGGAAAAGACAGAAATGGTGATTGGAATTGCAAAGATAAATATGATCAAGAGAAAATTGCTTCTAGAAGAGGGGAAAGGATCATTGCTTACATAAAATTATGGATTCTAAGCCATTTAAGCTGGGAAACTCTATATTGAACAAAGAAGACACCAAATTTTATTTGAAGACTATACTATATATTTACCCGATCTAGGTTTCAAGCCAAAGGGACCATGTGAAAAGCCATCAGTCCTGTCATATTCCTAAAAGAAAAAAAAGCAAAACCCTTGCAGTTTCAAAATTATCAAGTCACTTATTCAAATCTGTTCCAATTTTGAGAAGTCTTTATTTCCAATGTTTTCTTAAATAGTGAAACTCAACCTAGATTTCAATTCAAGTTGATATGTTTCACGTTTTAGAAGTAAATAAATATTTCTCATTTACCTGGGTATACAACTTTAAATTTTTATTTCATTTTTAAAAAGAAAAGAAAATTATGTATGTTCACATGTGTGTGCATGTGTGTGCTTATGTGTGTAAGTGTGTGAGAGAGAGAGAGAAAGAAAGAGAGAGAGAGAGAGAGAGAGAGAGAGAGAGAGAGAGAGAGGCGGAAGTAAGAGGACAACTTGGGGGAGTAACTTCTTCAATCATATCGGTCCTTGTGATCAAATTGAGTTGGTCAGGCTTGGTGGCAAAAGCCTTTATCTTGTTGGCACATAATATTTTCTGATACTATGAAAAAAATTGAAAAGGAAAATAATTAACAAGGTGTGATATTTTTTTTAAAAAATAATTAAGGGAAGGTTTTTAAAATAATGAAGAGCACATCAATTAAAAGATAGATCAACAAGGACTGTGTATGTACTATTGACTTGACACTGAGTGGAAATTTTGAGGCCAATCCACAATTACAGGGGTTTTAGAATAACAGATGAGAGCAAATGATTATCTCTTACATCTGAACACACATTATTTTAAAGTGTTTCTGCAAGTTATAGTGAGCTATGGAAAGATACACATAACATTAAAGAAATCCTCAATCAGAGCAAAAAGCCTAAAGTATGGTGTAGGAGGTCCTTCTGTCTATGTGTTGCTTTCATTGGTTAATAAACTGCCTGGGGCCTATAACAGAGCTGTATGGGAACAGAGATAGGTGGAGAAAACTAAAGGGGACCCTGGAAGAAGACAGAGTCATGGAGATGCCATGGATCCATGGTCAGAGGTAGACGTGCTGAAAAATTGCTGGTAGGCCACGACCTCGTGATGATATGCAGATTAATAGAAATGGGTTAAATTAATATGTAAGAGTTAGCCAATAAGAAGTTAGAGCTAATGGGCCAAACAGTGATTCCATTAATACAATTTCTGTGTGGTTATGTTGGGGCTAAGCTAGCCAGGCAGCCAGGATGAATAAGCAGGCCCTCCTCCTCCTACAAAAGTATATTTGCATAAACATTTCATTTAATGAGATTAAGTCCATATGTTTCAAATGGATTTTAATGAAGTAACAGAAAGTGTTTTATAAATTTTATAATTTATAAAAACAAATAAATAAAATGCAGGTGTGGCAGCACCTTATGACTCTGGGTGACAACTCCCAAAAACTGATAGGGCAAAAGTTTTAGTTACTTCTCTGCCATTTACTGACTAGGCTCTTGGGGAAAGCTACTGGATTTTTCAGGTATAAAACAATAAAGGCACATTAAAAGGGGACTCTATTAATGCTGAAATGAAACAGAGAGACTTTATTTAATGTGGTACACTAACAGGTTTTACCATTTTCTTCTCAAATGAAACTGTGGCAGTAAGAAATCTGTACGGTGTCTAAATGTTCTCTAGACGTGATAGGCAATGTGAATGTGAGGGGAGCTAGGAAAACACATTCAGCATCCTACCTATATACATCCTTATGTTTGGTCTTTGTTATTTTGTTGAAATTGTTATAAATTACTGAACAAAATTCTATTTATCCAAATAAAAGCAAACATCACAAATGCAGTAGAACTTACCTGAAAAAAATAGACATTAGTACACTTCCTGGTAGACATAGGCCATAAAATCACACAAAACAACAATGCAAACCAAGTGGTAGTCATGTCTATCCTTACAGTTGTTATAACTTACAAAGAAGGGATTTAAAAAGCATTCAACTATGACTAATTTTAGGACATCCTAATTAAAATTGTTTTCTAACACAATATATACTATTTTGTTTTCCATGTAATTTAGTAATATTTTTATTAAATTCATGCTCATGGTCATAGAAAAGTTTTATAATACAAATCACACAAAGTAATACAGAAAAATTGCAGTTTTTTAAAAACAAATCTATGTACAAATAATGAGATAAATCTATATAAACAAGTTTATACAATAAATTCAGGTCAATCAAACATTTTAAGATGTGAATTCTCAAAATGAATTATTATTTTTCTACTAATAAAAATGGACTTTATCATACTAAATAAAGTGATCAAAACTAAATGAGATACTATTTAAAATATTTAAAGTTCTTGTGGTAAAGCAACAAGATTAAGTTACATGAACTCGTCATTCAAACCACCATAGTATTTAAACAACATTTTAGAAATTATGACTTTCATATACCAGCTCTCTCATTATTCTTTAGATCTAAGATGCCAGGAAATGTGTGACCTCCTGTCGATAGGAACAACCCACTACAGGATTGTTTCTCGTGGAAAAAGGACATTTCTCTTGCATTGTTTTCAGACCTTATTAGTTACAAGGAAAACCAAAGGCCATTGCACAATGCTTAATGCATTTTTAAAATTAAAATTCCAAAGCTATTGTTAAAATCCAACAGCTATTTTAAAATGTAGAGGAATAAGAAGGCACACATCTCATAAACTGACTTACATTCGGTGATGTAGAAATGTGTTCCACAGAAAACCACAACTTAGTGAAATTTACTAGGGATATTCATACAAAGGAATAGTATTCATAATTTTTTACAGATAAAACTTGTACATAGTAGTCAACCACCGATTTCAAAAAAGAGTAATTAAATTACTTTGTAAAAAAGATGAAGTTTTAGAAAGGAGGTAAGAAAGAACTCTTTATAAAACACAGAAAAGATACAAAGCATTAAAACAACTTGTACCTCGGATGATACCGGAGACTGTGGTGACATATGAGCATTATCACTCTCTTGCTAAAATATAAAAATAAAAACATGAAAGATGAAATTAAAATACACAATGGTGATTTAAACATACAAAAGGACAATGGAAAATTGTTTTGAACAACTGTCAAAAGAGGAATTGACAGTGTACAGTATGGCATCTTGTTACTTAAATGTTCTTGGTGAACCACAGCACAGACATCACTGGGAAATTTTAGACATAAATGATCCCTGGCCCCAAGTAACAATGAATCAGATTTTATGTAAGAGCCTCTAATGATATATAAGAATTTTAAAGACTCAAAAGTACAATCAAGACACAATAGGTAAGATGTATTACCCCTTCAGACACAGCAATGAAGGCTGGCAAGAGATCATCATGGTAAATAAGAAACTAGCTGGAAGATTATGCATATTAGTTAAGTAGAGAAATATTTATGAATTTAACTGAATAATATCAATAAACGGTTCATGGTTTAGGAATGAATACTCTAATGATAACCAAATGAAAATATCTTGACATTTAACATGGAAAATGCATACCACATTATGCATGCATTCAACTGACAAGTAATTATTTCTCAGATACTATTCTAGAAACTAAGAATGAGGAAATTTTTGCTACCCTGTATTTTTTTGTTTTTCCATATGAAATTGAGTAGTATTCTTTCAAGGTCTCTATAGAATTGTGCTGGGTATTGCATTGAATCTGCAGATTACTTTGGGTAAGATTGCTATTTTTATTGTGTTGATCCTGCCTATTCAAGAGCATGGAAGTTCTTTACATTTTCTGATATCTTCTTCAATTTCTTTCTTTAGAGACTTAAAGTTGTTGTCATACATGTCTTCCACTTGTTTTGTTAGAGTTGCACCAAGATATTTTATGTTATTTGTGGTTACTGTGAAGGGTGAGGTTTTACCGCTTTCTTTCTCAACTCATTTATCATCTGTACATAGGAGGGCTACTGATTTTATTTAGTTAATCTTGTGTCCTGCTACATTACTGAAGGTGGTTATCAGTTGTAAAAGTTCCCTAGTATAATTTTGGGGTCACTTATGTAAACTACCATAACTTCTACAAATAGTGAAAGTTTGACTTCTTACTTTCCAATTTGTATCCCCATGATCTCATTTTGTTGTCCTATCACTCTGGCTAGAGCTTCAAGTATTATATTAAATAGATACACAATGGACAGCCTGTCTTGCTCCTGGTTTTAGTGAAATCACTTTGAATTTCTCTCCATTTAGTTTGATGTTGACTGTTGATTTGCTGTATATTGCCTTTATTATGTTTAGGTATGTTCCTTGTATCCCTTACCTTTATCATGAAGGGATGTTGTATTTTGTCAAAGGCTTTTTCCATATCCAATGATATGACCATGTGGCTTTTTTCTTTCAGTTTGTTTATATTGCGGATTTTCACATTTGAACCATTCCTGCATCTCTGGGATGAAGGTAACTTAATCACAGTAGATGATTTTTTCTGATGTTTTCTTGGATTGGGTTTCCCAGTATTTTATTGAGAATTTTTGCTTCAGTGTTCATGAGGGACATTGGTCTGTAATTCTCTTTTTCAGTTGCATCTTTGTGTGGTTTGGGTACCAGGGTAACTATCACCTCGAAAAAAGAGTTTGACAGTGTTTCTTCTGTTTCTATTGAGTGGAACAACTTGAAGAGTATTGGTATTAGCTATTCTTTGAAATTCTGGTAGAATTCTGCGCTGAAACCCTCTGGTCCTGGGGTTATTTGGTTGGGAGACTTTTGATGACTACTTCTTTTTCCCTAGGGGTTATAGATCTATTTTAAAGTATTTATCTGTTTTCATTTTACTTTGTTTTATAGTTCAGAGAAAATTTTCCATTTCCTTTAAATTTTCCAATTTTGTGGAGTATAGATTTTCAAAGTATGACCTAATGATTCTCTGAATTTTCTCAGTGTCTGTTGTTATGTCCCCCTTTTCATTTCTGATTTTGCTGATTTGCCTATTCTTTCTGCCTTTTGGTTAGTTTTCATAAGGGTTTGTCTATCATGTTGAGTTGTCTCATTGATTCTTTGTTTCTAATTTATTGATTTCAGCCTTCAATTTGATTGTTTCCTGGCACCTACTCCACTTGGGTGAGT